AACCTCATATAATGCGGTTTCCACTGAACGTCCTTTAACGTATGCATGCTGTTCGTATTTGAGCATATCGTTTGCGATTCTGCTCTTAATCATGGTTTCGATTGTACGTTCCATGGTTTTGAGTAAGAACGATGTTAGACTTATTCCACGAGTTTCGTTTAGCTGTTCTAACTACACTGTTGTAAGGTCTTCGGACTTCCTTTCCTTTGTTACGAATTTCCCCTGTCACCCAGGGTTTTTCGTAGGCAGATTTCCTCTCTCGAAGTGGACCGCATTCCTCGAAAGACTTTACTAGGGTCTCCGTTAAACCTATTGAAGTTACTGCTTACTATGATGGATGATATGGTATGTAGTGTCTCGACTCAGACGTCATCAGTTAACACAGTATATACAATTTTAATACATGCACCGACATTATAAAATATGCCATGTTATCGATTGGATAATTATCTGTGAAGGCCGGGGAGTCTAGAAACAAAGATATGAAAAAGTTTCGACTAAATCATTCATTCATCATTCTCGTATTTCAACAAATACAGATCTTATTGAACAGCGGGACAGCGAACGTTTCTTTTTTCGATCGTTCCCAACGCCTCACTTTCTCGCCCCTGCCGACCAAGAGGGCCACCTCCCCATAACGTAGGGAGCACGTACACCACATAGTCCGGATTATAGGGGGTTAGTAGACTTGGGAAACCGGCTACATTAGAACATCAGTCGGTTTAACAATTAAAAAGAATTAAAGTATCTGAACTAAACTACAGTAAAACTAAACAATACAAATACTAAATCACAGAAAGTAAGTCTGGCAACTATTTTATAAACTAAGAAAGTAGGATAGAGTTTTTTTATGACATACAAGGGTTCACACAAAGAAATCGTGTTATATAATTTATTATAATCAGCACATAAACTTCGGAGAGGATTATTTATTTCATAGTTCGATTTTGCTAATGTTAGTTTAAGTGGTATATAATAACGCGTATTTCGCGAGGGGACATTGAATTTTATTTCACCAGTTAAAAACTCAGAATCAATTTGACCACGCAAAAGTTTGATGATAAAAATACATCTAAGCATTAACCTCCTTTTCTCTAGTGTAGGAAGATCGATAAGTTTAAGCCTATTCTCATAAGGTGGGAGAAGTTCATTTGAATTCCATCCTAAGCCTGTCAGACCAAACAAAAGAAATTGAACCTGTACAGACTCTATCTTTTTTGAATATATTTTATAGAAAGGACTCCAAAGTACGCAGCCATATTCTAACGTAGGTCGAACAAGGCTGATAAATAAGCGTTTGGTCACATAAGGATCGTCGAATTCCTTTGACCAACGTTTTTTAAATCCTAGTAAATACTTTGCTTAATTAACACAAGACTCGATATGTAAATTAAAACGTAATTTATTGTCTAATATGACCAAGATCAAGAAACGAGTCAACATTATCCAATTTGTAAGAACCTATGAAATAGTTGTAGTTCATATGCTGAGATCTATATAAGGACAATTTTTTTTTACATTTTTTTTAAATTTAATGACTTCATTGACACTACACCAATGTGCAAGAGAATACAAGTCCTGTTGCAGATTAGGCGATTCGTTGTGAGAATCACGAGTGCAAAAAAGTTTTACATCGTCAGCAAACATTAATATTTTTGAGTTGCGAATAATAGATGGAAGGTCATTTAAATAAAATACAAAAAGTAGTGGACCTAAATGGCTACCCTGAGGAACACCAGAAAATACTGTAATATTTTTAAAGAGATGTATTATTAAAAGATCCACTCCATTAAGTCAAGTTTATATATTAAAAAATTATGCACCATCGTATCGAAAGCTTTACTGAAATCAGTATATTTAATATCAGTTTGAAGATTTTTTGAGAATCCAGTGTGAACATTAGAGACCAGTTCTAATAAATTTGTCAAAGTTGATCTTCCTTTAACAAAACCATGCTGGTGTGGTGATACTATAGATGTAACGAAATGAGTTATTCTTTGTGTAACCAAACGCTCAAAAAGTTTGGGAATTGCACTTAGCAATGCCCCTATAATTTTCAATAGCACATCTACTCTCAGCTTTATGCAATGGAATAATAAAGCTCGAACGCCAATATTAAAAATACTTGTTAGAGAATATGTAGGTCATGTGCACATGCTTTTAAAATGAAAGACGGTACACCATCTGGACCCGGTGAATTGGAACATTTCAATGAAAGTAGACCTTTCAACACTTCATCTGATGTGAGAATAATATGAGGAACATGATTAAATTTATTAATACTATAAGAGTATTTTACACCCTTAGTGGAATATCTGGAATACGTACTTTGAAAAAATCTGCAAACATGTCTGCTATTTCCTTAGGTTCACACGATTCTCTACTACCGAAACGCATACTACAGGGAAATTCATGGACTTTTCTTTTTGAATTAACGAATTTATAAAAGTTCTTAGGATTTTTATAGAGACTGTTTCTCATCTTGACTAGGTATTCAGAGTAATATTTACAATTTTTAGTGTTGTATAAACTTTTAGCTTTTGTATAATTAGTGAAGTTTATGATAAAATTATTTTTTTAAATAACCTGCTTTTTATGTTACGTAAGCGCCTAAGTTGTGGGGTAAACTAAACTGGACCTCTATCACAGCACATTTTTACAAGTGGGACTGAGGTTTCTAATGCATTGTTAATTATTTTATAAAAGCTTGAAATACGAAAATCCAAATTACCTTCAAAAACACCAATTTATATCGGATAATGTAGAACGCAGCAGATCTACGTTTGTCTTTCTAAAGTTTAGCTTACGCGACTTATTTTGAGATGAAGTATGTACTGTTTGAATGTTACTAAGTTCAATGGCTACCATAAGAGTAGGATGATACATATCCTCTGGCTCTGAGAAAGGAGGCCTTCTGCACACAGAAGAAGTTAAGGATGAAGAAAAAATTAAATCTAATAATTCACCTTTTGCATTATAGATAGAATTTATTTGATAAAGAAATTGCTCAAATATGATTTCCCAAAAGATGACATCTCAGTAGAAAGCTCTGTAGAAGATAATGGTACATAATCTACGATATTTTCTCCTGGGACCCATGCTAGATTAGGCAGATTGAAATCCCCCAGGTTTTAACCATGTTTCCGTGAATACCAAAATTTTGAAATCACAGTCAAAGGATTTTAAATAAATATTTCTAAGTTTAGTGTTAAGACCTCTCACGTTTTGATAAAGAAGAGATAGAGATTTAATTAGTTTTTTGACAATGGTACAACTGAAAGATTAACTGGTAAATAAACGGGGTTTGTTCTTTCCCTAAATACAAATTCCTTTACCAACAATTCATCCGGCCAGAACGTTCTATTAACTATTAAATTAAATAATTGAGCAGGAGTAATGGGACGTGTTAAATTCAAAAAATTTTTATATGTAAGACTGAAGGTTATCACCTGTAGTATCGGGACACAAATATAGTTTTACGCGGCGCTACAACAATAAGTTGATCCGTAGGCAAAGACATAGGGGATTCGTTATTATTGTCTGCAGAAAAAAGATTTTTCATTTAAATCAGAAGGCGTAGGGATTACATTGTTAATGTCTGCAGAAACAGACTTTTCATTAATAGTATCTGCAGAAACAGATAGATTATTTTTATATTTATCTGCAGGAACAGATTTTGTTTCTAGAACCGCTGGAGGCTTGGCCAGAACGAAAGGCTTATAGATTCTGCAGTAACAGAAGCTTCCTTTAACGGTTCTGCCGAACGTGGAGAAGATAACGTTTGCTTATTAGTGTTACCTGTAGAAATTACAGAAATAGTATTAGCTATTGTACTGTACGAGTTAACAACAATTGCAGGCGCTAAGAATTGAGAAGCTATAGGTACGGTTTTAGAAGATTGCATTTCGACCGGAGCATTTCCTGTAACAATTTCAATAGTTTTATCATCAATTGAGGGTGGGATGTCCGAGCCAAAAGATTTGGCAGCGTTGTGTGGCTGAGCCACAGCCGGTGAATTTAAACGGATCAAATCATCACCAGGTACAAAAACTGAGGATTTCTTTCGTTTCGGAGATCCATCCAGGAATTGAAAATTATTAAACTTTTTTTCGAAATTCTGAAGCTTTAAAAATGCTTTGTCGAAAACCTTCTTCAAAGCTGCTAATTCAGTTTTAGACTCCTTGAAATGAGTATAAAAGTTAATTTCTAAGGGCCTATAATCAATACATGCCCAACGTAAACCATATTTTTCGCGATCAGTAAGAACATCAAAATGGCGGCCATCAAGACCTGCACATTTTAAATGTTCATGCCTATCGCATAGCCAACATGTTAGTAAACGTTCTTTAAAATTAGTACTTTTACAATTTCTTTTCGAGCACTCCATGTTAATTCGAAATACTAATGGAAACGGTGTATTAGGGAAATAGTGTAATAATCAATTTACAGTAACAGCCTAAAGGTATGCTCAGGAAAGATAATTTAATATTTAATACGTACAGGACAGCAAACGGGAATCAGGCACAAACGTCAAAGACAAAAGAAATAACACTACGTTGTAAATAACAAACACAGACAAGAATATTAAAACACCAAAAAATGATCAACGCGCACAAAATTAAATTTTGTAAAATAGTATAAAAACATTATATTTCACAAAAACTTTACACTTTTGCAAACTATTGAAATGTATATATTTAAAGAATCACAATTTAAAACTTCTAAAGACACAATACCTGCGAAAATTTAATTACACACAGAAAAAAAAAACACTTGCATGCGATCAGAGTTGTCAGACAAACAATAAAAAAGTATATTATTAAATCCTCTACTTGATTTACTCGAATAACACTGAAATTTATAAATATCTATTAATAACTTTGGTTTAATCTTATATTAAATTGTTATTTTATTTTGTTTACAAAAAATGTGAAAATAATATAATTTGGAATTGATTTGCATAAAAATACTTCTTTTTGGAAGTACTTTTTACAGGGGACTCTACCTGAAGGCGGGCCGTTCCAAATACTTTTCAGTAAGATTATTCTTTAACTCTTTAGAACGTAAAATGTCAAATAACAGAACAATCTGACGTGAAATGTGACAAGAATTGGGCAAATAACTCTTATTCGGGAGGTACGTTGTGAGGGGACCATGCCAAAACATGCACCGACCATATCCATTTTGTCGAGACCCTGTATTGGCATAGAATAGTTGGTGGTTTATATGGTTTAGTCCAGATCTTGTTCTGAACTGTCCAAGGTTCCTGAATTAAACCAATGTGAATCTTACCTGAATTGATTAGTTTCATCAGAGCCATCCGATGAAGGTTGATCTGGATGACCTCGATCATTGGTCCTCCAGTAGACGGGCTTCTTGAGAGTCGGTAATTTTGTTACCGACTCCCTGTTCTGTGTTGCTTGGGTGGTCTTCTTTCTTCTCCTCACAGCTACACTCGGTGTCTTCATCTCCGATCCTCACCTTATTATTTTTGAACCTGACAGCGTTCGAGACATAGAATGCCATGCCCTTAGTCTTTGTCAGACTGGCCATGGAGAGATCGTCAAGTCTAATCACAAGGAGAGTGCCATCCTTCCTCTGCTCCCTGTGAAAGATTTCCCATCTATTCACGTCCAAAGTCTTATTATGCCTTCCAAAGACTTCGAGCATACGTTCCGTCCCGAATTTGCTGCCAAATCCTCTGACGTGTACCGATGTTAAAGTCTGGGTCGAGCGTATGCTTCCCATGAGTTCCTCAGACCCTCTGTTGTTGTTGTAGCAGCTCGATTTCCATTTTTCTGACTCCATTCAATCAGGTTCTGCCCCTAAGTTCATTCTCAATAAGCATGCAACCTGTATGGGTTGTGTCCATAACGAGACTGGAGTTAGGTGAGTAGGCTTGGCTGGGCAGCGAAATAGATGCAGCGTGTCAAGTGGGCCTGTGCTTATGCTAGGTAGATGTTCTGCATGTCGCTGTTAATCCGGGCCCAGTAGAAATTTAGGCGGCTGTACCATCCGGATTGTAATTGACCTAAAGATACTCGGGTTTGTCGGGGCGGCTCTCGTTCTTCAGCTGCGACGGGAGGGGGATGGTCTCCTAGCACAGTATTCACTCTATATCCTTCAATGGCTTCTGAGACCGCATTAGAGTGAATACTATTCAGTCCCGCTTGATAGGCCTGTTGATCTAGAGGCTCTCTCTTATACCTCTGTACCTCTCTCTCTAGATCATGAAGGTCTTTCCTAACGTGCCTGGGCGGAGGTTGTCTATCCACAAGATGGAGATTCGGATGGCCAAGCAGGTATTGCATTAACAGCATTTTGTTATGCTGTCGCACCTGTAAGACCTTCGCCTCCTCGACAGGTGTCATGAGAAGGCACCCTGTGCGTAGCACTGACGTTGGCGGACCACAACGGAGCCGCATAGTTCACCACAGACCATAGGCCTATCGCGTTGTAAGAGGTCAACAAGGTTTCCTTATCAGCTCCCCAAGTACTGCCGGTCAGAGACTTGAGGACCTTGTTCCTACTTCTAATCTTGTCGCAGATAGCTGTGGTATGCGCGGACGACTTAAAGAGGCTATCGAATGTGACCCCTAATACCTTGGTGTAGTTGGTGGTCGGAATTATAGCACAATCGACCTGCACATTCAAGGATAGCCCCATCTCCGCAGTCCATGTGGTGAAAAGTGTGGCCATCGACTTAGTGGCTGATATCTTCATATTCCTCGCAGTGAAAAAGGCGGTAGGATCAACAAGGTAAGCGTTTAATCGATCGCAAATGTCATCAATAATGGGTCCGGACGTCACGAGCGTACAATAATCTGCGTACATTATAATTTTTATGCCGTCTGGAGGGCGTGGAATGTCAGATAGGTAGAGGTTAAACAGTTCCGGAGATATCACCCCACCTTAGGTTAGGTTAGGTTAAAGGACGCGCGATTGCCATATGGCAACCGCTCCACTCGGAGACCTATAGGTCCATTGTGTTCTTCCTAGAAAAGAGTTTTGAGAGATAAAAGAAAAAGTGATTGATAGAGAAGATGAACATAAAGGGTTGTGTAGTAGAGTGTAATCTACGGCTGAGGAGTTTGCCGTGTCGTCTTTAGCCACTTGAGTCTTCTGGCTAGTTGAAGAATTACTACAGGGTCAGTGTAAGAAAAGACGACAAGTCGTGTGACACTAGTTCTCCCACTAGCCTGTGCCTTACATTAATGAGTGCTGGGCAGTGGCAGAGTAAGTGTTCGATTGTCTCGATTTCTTCTTCATCTTGACAGATCCTACAGTAGTCAATGCCGTCGCTGTTCCATTTCGATGTCATAGCCCTCACCTTACAGTGACCTGTGATGATGCCCACCACAAGTTTTAGATCAGGTTTTGACAATGACATCAGCGACCTTGTTCTCTTCTCCGAGAGTGTGGGCCAGATTCGTTTGGGGATGGTACAACCACTTTCATTTAGCCATTTTTGTTGGATTTTCTCAGAGTAGTGTTTGTGAATAACCTGCAGGAAATTGCACAGTGGTGGTTTAACCGAGTTGTCTACTTGAATTGTAGTTGATTCGGATCCTAATCTGGCCAGTCTCGTTACCTGGGATGTTAAAATGTCCAGGAACCCAACAAAGCTTGATGGACAACCCAGTGTTTTTCAAGGCTTCCCTGCAGTTCAAAACAGCCCTAGACTTGATTGTAAAGGAACTCAAGGCCTTCAGTGCCGCTTGACTATCGACATATATAGTCATCGGACTACTGACTTCAATGCTCCTCGTGACCAACAGGTCAATGGCCTTTTTGACCGCAATGATTTCCGCCTGAAAAACGCTATAGTTGTTTCCAAGCTTGTAGGATTCACGAACGTTAAGAGTATCACAGAAGACACCAGCTCCCGTACCACACTCCATCTTTGAACCGTCGGTATAAACAGCTATGTCGCGGAAAGGTGGGTTGTTTTGAGCCCAGGCGTCTCTGTCAGGTATGTTTTGCTTGAGGCGTGCTCCTGAAGGCACCCGTTATTAGTAAGGATGCGACCCGTTGAACTTTGTTAATATGTCGTAGATAAGTTAACTTCTTCAAAAAAATTCCACCATACTAGAGATCCATAGGTTAGAATGGGGCGAACGATTGACTCATACATCCATTTGATGATGTGCGGCCCAAGCTCTTGCCTATAGAATTCTTGCAGGAATAGAGTGCAATTAAGCCTCTCTTAGCTCGTTCCTCGGTGTTCCTCTTCCAACTTAGTCGGTGGTCAAGGATAGTGCCAAGGTATTTGGCTTCTAGCGAAAGGTTTAAACTGACTCCATCTAGTTTCGGTGATGTAAATGAAGGATATTTACGTCTTTTAGTGAAAAGGACGAGCTCTGTCTTTGATGGGTTCACGCCTAGTCCATTGCGACGCGCCCACCGTGATAAGGTGACTAGAGCTCCTTGCATTAGATCCGAGATTGTTTGCAGGAATTTCCCGGCGATTAATAGGACGACGTCATCAGCGTATGCGACTACTTTCGTCCCTGTTACCTCTAGATCTATAATTATATTATTGATGACTAAAAGCCAGAGTAATGGTGATAGGACACCCCCTTGCGGAGTGCCCCTAGTGACCGATTTCCTGACGGACATTTCCCCAATGCTCGAGTTGATGATTCTGCTGCTAAGCATGGTATCAATCCAGTCTATGAGGAGTTGGGGTACTTTAAGTTTTGATAAGGAATCATGAATGGATTCTAGCGTGACGTTGTTAAAGGCTCCCTCAATATCGAGGAAGGCAGCCAAGGTGAATAAGGAACCATTCATGTTCTTCTCTATATACCCTACGACATCGTGTTGCGCTGTTTCAACAGATTTACCTTTCATATAGGCATGTTGAGCATTGCTAATGACGGTCTTGGGTAATAGAGATCTGATCTCTATGTCTATCAGCCTTTCCAAAGTTTTCAGTAGAAAGGATGAGAGACTTATCGGTCTATAGTCCTTAGGAAGTTAGTGACTCGGTTTCCCCGCTTTGGGGATATAAGTAACTGTGACTTCTCTCCATGCTTCAGGAATGTAGGACAGACACAGACAAACTTTAAAAATCCCTGGGGGAGATTTGGGGAGCTGAGACGCTGAGACACGCTGGATCATAGCGGAAATAATACCGTCTGGTCCTGGAGATTTAAAAGGCTGAAATGTATCTATAGCCCATTTGATTTTGGGTAAGCTTACTATTCTGTTAGCCAGGTTTTGGTCACTAGCCGTATGATCACGATGCACTTGATCGGTTTGCCGATTGCTTGCAGCGTCGATACAGCCTGGGAAGTGTGTGTTGGCTAGCAGGTTAAGGGTCTCTAGTCCAGAGTCAGTCCATGTGCCGTCAGTCCGTTTTATACTTGCTATGGATTTAGGATCCTTCGAAAGAACTTTACGAAATCTGGAGGCATCGTTGACACTTTCAATCGACTCCGTGAAACATACCCAAGATGTGCGCTTGGCCTTCTTGATCTCACTGTTGTACTTGTTAAAGGATGCCTTTTAGGCATCCCAGTCAGTACGTAGTTTGGTCTTGTTGGCCCTATTATACAGTCGTCTACTGTCCCTCCTTAAGTTGCCTAAATGTTTTGACCACCAAACTGGTTGACATTTCTTCCCTGGGTAGGTTAGCGGACAAACTTTTTCATAGCAATCAATCAAAGCACTCGTTATCGCATTTACGGAGTTGTCTATATCGAGGGTTGAGGTTAAGACCATGTTGTCGAAACAGTGAAGCCTGGATGTAGCCAGTTCCGTTAATTTGTCCCAATGTGCCTTTCTTGGATTTCTATGTGGTTTTTGAGGAATACCATCTACTAAGACTTTGAAAACTATCTTGCGGTGATCTGAAAACGAGCACTCAGGAGAGACTTTCCAGTCTTGTATTAGGGATTCATCCTTGTTAGTTAGGGTGAGGTCTATGACCTCTGCCCTGTCTTTGATTTGGAATGTTGCATCGTTGCCCCTATTACAAATTTTGAGATTATATTTTAAGATAAAATCAAAAATGGACTCACCTCTGACGTTGGTATCGTTGCTGCCCCATTGGAAGTGGTGTGCGTTGGCATCACAACCTATGATTAAATGCCCTTTGTCAGCCAGATCTTCGAGCAGCTCCTCTACTTCATGTCCAGGTGGGTCAGGTCGCTCGTACGGTAGATAGAGAGATATGAAAATGTGAACCCTCCCGGACTCCAATTTCGCTACCGTAACGTCTCCTCCACTGTAGTTGCTAAGGAAGATAAGGTTTAAACTCTTTTTGGCAACAATACACGGATCCATCCAGCGCCGAAATGCAGTTTTCCCCCACGAGCGTGAAGGTATTCCTGGCCATCCGTATCCATAGATACCTTGATGACCAGGCTCCCTCCCTCAGTGTTTGAACTGACAAGACGCCAGTTGTCCGTTTTGAGGTTGAGGTTCTGCTTGCCCAGTATTGTCAGGATGCGTGCCGGATCCACGGATGGTGGTGGCACCCAAGCTGTCAATACCTTGTTCACCTTGGTGAACTCCCTGTTTAACTCTATGGATGCTCGACTTCTTGTTTCTGAACTCCACGTACGACTGGCGTCCACACATGTAGTTTACTATCCAACGTTTCAAACTTGGCTGGAGGGCGGTGCGCTCAATGTCCTCGAACAGTGTGGCATGATTGACTGTATCAAAGGCTTTTGATAAGTCAAGTGCCACCATAACTGTTCTATCGCACGGCCTGTTCTGGTTGAGACCTCTGCTGACATGTGTGGAAGTGGCGTGTAAAGATGTTGTTGTGCTGTGCAATTGATGATCGGCTACTGGGAGACACTCTTCTATGCTGGGGAGGAGTAAAGCCTCAAGCGTCTTTGCTACTGGTGACAAAAGTAATATCGGCCTGTATGAATAACTTTTGCTGGCATCCTTGCCTGGCTTCAGTAGCGGGACCACCCTGCCCATTTTCCAGGCATCGGGAACTACTAGGGTGGCTAACGACAGATTGAGGACCTAGTAAGATGTATGTTGATTTCAATTCAGTTTATTGGAATGTTGAGTTTAGTATAAATTTAGAAATTTTAAAATCTAGAATAATTTTATTTTTAAATCTATATATATATATATATATATATATATATATAACCTGTTTCAACAGATTTACCTTTCATATAGGCATGTTGAGCATTGCTAATGACGGTCTTGGGTAATAGAGATCTGATCTCTATGTCTATCAGCCTTTCCAAAGTTTTCAGTAGAAAGGATGAGAGACTTATCGGTCTATAGTCCTTAGGAAGTTAGTGACTCGGTTTCCCCGCTTTGGGGATATAAGTAACTGTGACTTCTCTCCATGCTTCAGGAATGTAGGATAGACACAGACAAACTTTAAAAATCCCTGGGGGAGATTTGGGGAGCTGAGACGCTGAGACACGCTGGATCATAGCGGAAATAATACCGTCTGGTCCTGGAGATTTAAAAGGCTGAAATGTATCTATAGCCCATTTGATTTTGGGTAAGCTTACTATTCTGTTAGCCAGGTTTTGGTCACTAGCCGTATGATCACGATGCACTTGATCGGTTTGCCGATTGCTTGCAGCGTCGATACAGCCTGGGAAGTGTGTGTTGGCTAGCAGGTTAAGGGTCTCTAGTCCAGAGTCAGTCCATGTGCCGTCAGTCCGTTTTATACTTGCTATGGATTTAGGATCCTTCGAAAGAACTTTACGAAATCTGGAGGCATCGTTGACACTTTCAATCGACTCCGTGAAACATACCCAAGATGTGCGCTTGGCCTTCTTGATCTCACTGTTGTACTTGTTAAAGGATGCCTTTTAGGCATCCCAGTCAGTACGTAGTTTGGTCTTGTTGGCCCTATTATACAGTCGTCTACTGTCCCTCCTTAAGTTGCCTAAATGTTTTGACCACCAAACTGGTTGACATTTCTTCCCTGGGTAGGTTAGCGGACAAACTTTTTCATAGCAATCAATCAAAGCACTCGTTATCGCATTTACGGAGTTGTCTATATCGAGGGTTGAGGTTAAGACCATGTTGTCGAAACAGTGAAGCCTGGATGTAGCCAGTTCCGTTAATTTGTCCCAATGTGCCTTTCTTGGATTTCTATGTGGTTTTTGAGGAATACCATCTACTAAGACTTTGAAAACTATCTTGCGGTGATCTGAAAACGAGAACTCAGGAGAGACTTTCCAGTCTTGTATTAGGGATTCATCCTTGTTAGTTAGGGTGAGGTCTATGACCTCTGCCCTGTCTTTGATTTGGAATGTTGCATCGTTGCCCCTATTACAAATTTTGAGATTATATTTTAAGATAAAATCAAAAATGGACTCACCTCTGACGTTGGTATCGTTGCTGCCCCATTGGAAGTGGTGTGCGTTGGCATCACAACCTATGATTAAATGCCCTTTGTCAGCCAGATCTTCGAGCAGCTCCTCTACTTCATGTCCAGGTGGGTCAGGTCGCTCGTACGGTAGATAGAGAGATATGAAAATGTGAACCCTCCCGGACTCCAATTTCGCTACCATAACGTCTCCTCCACTGTAGTTGCTAAGGAAGATAAGGTTTAAACTCTTTTTGGCAACAATACACGGATCCATCCAGCGCCGAAATGCAGTTTTCCCCCACGAGCTTGAAGGTATTCCTGGCCATCCGTATCCATAGATACCTTGATGACCAGGCTCCCTCCCTCAGTGTTTGAACTGACAAGACGCCAGTTGTCCGTTTTGAGGTTGAGGTTCTGCTTGCCCAGTATTGTCAGGATGCGTGCCGGATCCACGGATGGTGGTGGCACCCAAGCTGTCAATACCTTGTTCACCTTGGTGAACTCCCTGTTTAACTCTATGGATGCTCGACTTCTTGTTTCTGAACTCCACGTACGACTGGCGTCCACACATGTAGTTTACTATCCAACGTTTCAAACTTGGCTGGAGGGCGGTGCGCTCAATGTCCTCGAACAGTGTGGCATGATTGACTGTATCAAAGGCTTTTGATAAGTCAAGTGCCACCATAACTGTTCTATCGCACGGCCTGTTCTGGTTGAGACCTCTGCTGACATGTGTGGAAGTGGCGTGTAAAGATGTTGTTGTGCTGTGCAATTTCCGGAAACTGTATTGATGATTATTATATATATATATATATATATATATATAAAAGAAAGTTGTGTTAGTTACTACGCTTATAACTTAAGAACCGCTGAGCCGATTTTAACGATTCATACAAATTCGTAATTGTCTCCTGTCCGAAAAGGATAATTAACATTTTCATTTTGACTTTTGGAATGTACAATAGTAATGTTTTATTTTGCATGATTTTTTTTTTCATTTTGATTTACTTTTTTCTAATGTACATTTGTACTGTTTTTTATAATTTAGTTTTTGAATTCGAATATTAATAACAATTTATTTAATTGACTTGATTTCTTTAGAACTGAAATTGATGTCGGGTTACATGGAAGTGAAGTACCGAATTATGTGGTGGCGAAACGGAATAAATGATATCGAAAAAATTTAACAGGGTCACACCAAAGTTAATAGATAATTACTTTTTCAAAATCGCTAAAAAATCACGAAAAAAGAGATCTCATTGCAAAAATTCTCAAATCGGGAAAAATCGAAAAAAATTTCAATGGAATCGAATTTTAAAATAATAGTACATTATATTGACAAGCTTTGTAAGGATCTTTAAACATTTGTTGTAAAAAACAGCGAACAAGTTGAAGATTTTTTCAATTTGTTATTCTTCTTTTGTCAATTTTTTTCATTTTGTATTATCATATTGAATTCAGTAGATTTTTTGGGAACAAAATAAAGAATAATTTTTCACTATATACAATTTTTCACCAAAAAAAAAACATCAAGATTGAGGTAATTGTCTCCTGTCCGAAAAGGATAATTAACATTTTCATTTTGACTTTTGGAATGTACAATAGTAATGTTTTATTTTGCATGATTTTTTTTTCATTTTGATTTACTTTTTTCTAATGTACATTTGTACTGTTTTTTATAATTTAGTTTTTGAATTCGAATATTAATAACAATTTATTTAATTGACTTGATTTCTTTAGAACTGAAATTGATGTCGGGTTACATGGAAGTGAAGTACCGAATTATGTGGTGGCGAAACGGAATAAATGATATCGAAAAAATTTAACAGGGTCACACCAAAGTTAATAGATAATTACTTTTTCAAAATCGCTAAAAAATCACGAAAAAAGAGATCTCATTGCAAAAATTCTCAAATCGGGAAAAATCGAAAAAAATTTCAATGGAATCGAATTTTAAAATAATAGTACATTATATTGACAAGCTTTGTAAGGATCTTTAAACATTTGTTGTAAAAAAACAGCGAACAAGTTGAAGATTTTTTCAATTTGTTATTCTTCTTTTGTCAACTTTTTTCATTTTGTATTATCATATTGAATTCAGTAGATTTTTTGGGAACAAAATAAAGAATAATTTTTCACTATATACAATTTTTCACCAAAAAAAAAACATCAAGATTGAGGTATCTATTTGTTTTTTTGCAGGTCATGATATCGATCATAACTCACGAATAAGGGTACAACCCGATTTCATATTTATATAACCATCGTATGATTTAAGCTATTTTTGGGGTCTTGGCCACTTCTTTAATTTTTTTTTTTTTTGGCCCTTATTTGGCATCATTGTTTCTAAGGGGGAAGATAACCTCTTCGCATAAAATTTTAAATTTTCAGGGTAGGGTCTTGACCACTTTCATCAATTGATTTGGCTAAAAAATTGTATATATGCTACCTTGGGGTAGGGAACCATCACACAGATAATTGCCCCATAGGAATTTATTTAAGTAAAGTCCCCACATTGGAGTATCTTTCACATCTAATGTGTGGTCAGAGAAGAAATTTTGTATTGAATTGAATTTGTAACCTCCAAGAGAATATTGGTTGGGAACGTAGATTTGAGATGTACATCTGTATGAAATGAATTGTGAAACATGAACAAATTACGAATATAAGAAAGTAGCACGGGACCGAATATTTGTTGAATCGCCATTGAGTTATACTGATGAAAAAAATATGGACTTTATGGGGTCTCCAACTTACAATTTAAATGGCAAATAAAACAAATTCCTATCTTTCGGTAATGGGTTTAAAAAAGCTATATTTTTGATTTGGCCTTTATTTGTCATATTGGATTATAAGGGGTAGAAGAAAGTTTTCAATGTAGGTCGATGTTTCGGAGTAGTGCCCATATAAAGGTCTCTCCTGATTTACCATATTTCAAAGGATTTGGCTAAAAAAGTATATTAGGGGTAAAAATCTTACACAAAATTTCAACATATCCACAAATTTGAGAATTTTCTCCATGTAATAGAACCCCCTCAAGTCCACCTTTTGGCGGACAAACAGACCGACATGGTTAGGGGGACCGATGACGACTCTAATGCACAATCTGAGGTGCTAATTGGTTTAAAAAAGTAATTAACTTTGGCTATTCTTAAATCATTCAGCCCTAAATTATGAGGTGTACAAAATACAGTAAATTCCAAATTATTGCTCATTTGACTGGAAAATTTTGCAACGATTTTTACCATACTAAAAATTAATTTGATCCCTTGCATCGGGATATATATATATATATATATATATATATATATATATATATACATATATATATATATATATATATATATATATATATATATATATATATATATATATATATATATATATATATACATATATATATGTATATATATATATATATATATATATATCCCGATGCAAGGGATCAAATTAATTTTTAGTATGGCAAAAATCGTTGCAAAATTTTCAAGTCAAATGAGCAATAATTTGGAATTTACTGTATTTTGTACACCTCATAATTTAGGGCTGAATGATTTAAGAATAGCCAAAGTTAATTACTTTTTTAAACCAATTAGCACCTCAGATTGTGCATTAGAGTCGTCATCGGTCCCCCTAACCATGTCGGTCTGTTTGTCCGCCAAAAGGTGGACTTGAGAGGGTTCTATTACATGGAGAAAATTCTCAAATTTGTAGATATGTTGAAATTTTTGTGTAAGATTTTTACCCCTAATATACCTTTTTAGCCAAATCCTTTGAAATATGGTAAAATCAGGAGGGACCTTTATATGGGCACTACTCCGAAACATCGACCTACATTGAAAACTTTCTTCTACCCCTTATAATCCAATATGACAAATAAAGGCCAAATCAAAAATATAGCTTTTTTAAACCCATTACCGAAAGATAGGAATTTGTTTTATTTGCCATTTAAATTGTAAGTTGGAGACCCCATAAAGTCCATATTTTTTTCATCAGTATAACTCAATGGCGATTCAACAAATATTCGGTCCCGTGCTACTTTCTTATATTCGTAATTTGTTCATGTTTTCACAATTCATTTCATATAGATGTACATCTCAAATCTACGTTCCCAACCAATATTCTCTTGGAGGTTACAAATTCAATTCAATACAAATTTTCTTCTCTGACCACACATTAGATGTGAAAGATACTCCAATGTGGGGACTTTACTTAAATAAATTCCTATGGGGCAATTATCTGTGTGATGGTTCCCTACCCCAAGGTAGCATATATACAATTTTTTAGCCAAATCAATTGATGAATGTGGTCAAGACCCTACCCTGAAAATTTAAAATTTTATGCGAAGAGGTTATCTTCCCCCTTAGAAACAATGATGCCAAATAAGGGCAAAAAAAAAAAATTAAAGAAGTGGCCAAGACCCCAAAAATAGCTTAAATCATACGATGGTTATATAAATATGAAATCGGGTTGTACCCTTATTCGTGAGTTATGATCGATATCATGACCTGCAGAAAAACAAATAGATACCTCAATCTTGATGTTTTTTTTTTTTTTGGTGAAAAATTGTATATTGTGAAAAATTATTCTTTATTTTGTTCCCAAAAAATCTACTGAATTCAATATGATAATACAAAATGAAAAAAATTGACAAAAGAAGAATAACAAATTGAAAAAATCTTCAACTTGTTCGCTGTTTTTTTACAACAAATGTTTAAAGATCATTACAAAGCTTGTCAATATAATGTACTATTATTTTAAAATTCGATTCCATTGAAATTTTTTTTCGATTTTTCCCGATTTGAGAATTTTTGCAATGAGATCTCTTTTTTCGTGATTTTTTAGCGATTTTGAAAAAGTAATTATATATTAACTTTGGTGTGACCCTGTTAAATTTTTTCGATATCATTTATTCCGTTTCGCCACCACATAATTCGGTACTTCACTTCCATGTAACCCGACATCAATTTCAGTTCTAAAGAAATCAAGTCAATTAAATAAATTGTTATTAATATTCGAATTCAAAAACTAAATTATAAAAAACAGTACAAATGTACATTAGAAAAAAGTAAATCAAAATGAAAAAAAATCATGCAAAGTAAAACATTACTATTGTACATTCCAAAAGTCAAAATGAAAATGTTAATTATCCTTTTCGGACAGGAGACAATTACCTCAATCTTGATGTTTTTTTGGTGAAAAATTGTATATAGTGAAAAATTATTCTTTATTTTGTTCCCAAAAAATCTACTGAATTCAATATGATAATACAAAATGAAAAAAATTGACAAAAGAAGAATAACAAATTGAAAAAATCTTCAACTTGTTCGCTGTTTTTTTACAACAAATGTTTAAAGATCCTTACAAAGCTTGTCAATATAATGTACTATTATTTTAAAATTCGATTCCATTGAAATTTTTTTCGATTTTTCCCGATTTGAGAATTTTTGCAATGAGATCTCTTTTTTCGTAATTTTTTAGCGATTTTGAAAAAGTAATTATCTATTAACTTTGGTGTGACCCTGTTAAATTTTTTCGATATCATTTATTCCGTTTCGCCACCACATAATTCGGTACTTCACTTCCATGTAACCCGACATCAATTTCAGTTCTAAAGAAATCAAGTCAATTAAATAAATTGTTATTAATATTCGAATTAAAAAACTAAATTATAAAAAACAGTCGCTCGTACGGTAGATAGAGAGATATGAAAATGTGAACCCTCCCGGACTCCAATTTCGCTACCATAACGTCTCCTCCACTGTAGTTGCTAAGGAAGATAAGGTTTAAACTCTTTTTGGCAACAATACACGGATCCATCCAGCGCCGAAATGCAGTTTTCCCCCACGAGCTTGAAGGTATTCCTGGCCATCCGTATCCATAGATACCTTGATGACCAGGCTCCCTCCCTCAGTGTTTGAACTGACAAGACGCCAGTTGTCCGTTTTGAGGTTGAGGTTCTGCTTGCCCAGTATTGTCAGGATGCGTGCCGGATCCACGGATGGTGGTGGCACCCAAGCTGTCAATACCTTGTTCACCTTGGTGAACTCCCTGTTTAACTCTATGGATGCTCGACTTCTTGTTTCTGAACTCCACGTACGACTGGCGTCCACACATGTAGT